AGAGAGAGAGAGAGAGAGAGAGAGAGAGAGAGAGAGAGAGAGAGAGAGAGAGAGAGAGAGAGAGAGAGAGAGAGAGAGAGAGATGATTGTTGCACGGTGATCGTGAACATCATGACCATCGTGGTGATCGTCCCGGCAATAGTATTCTCCTGCTCTGGCTGGATCCAAAGAGAGAGGGAGAGAAATGATCGTTGTGTGCTGATCGTGAGTCATTAAGGTGGTTATCGTCCCGACTACAATATCCTCCTGCTCTGGCTGATTCATGACATTGACCATCACAATTCTGCACTCGATCCTCTGAGAAAAGGAGAAAAGCATGCCAATTGATTCCTTGGTTAGTCAATTTATTGATCTGCTTTTGAGATTGGACGAGTATTGATTGATTATTTGAGATCCTTCTTTTTTATTTCTTTCTTGAACGTGAAAACAAGGAAAAAAGGAAAAAGGACCAACAGAGGAGGAGAAGGCGGGCAGAGGACGAGGAGGTAGCATAACGAGGAAAAAAGAAAAGAAGTAAAATTCGCCGCCATCTTTGTCCACCTCCTCCTCGCTCCTCCTCCTCCACCGCCGCCTCCTTTATTGATGTTCTGCTCCTGAAGGTTGTCCGAGATGGAGGACATGGCAGAGGAGGAGGTTGCACAGAGAAGGAAGAGGTGGCAGAGGAGGAGGGGATATCAAAGCAAGAGGGGGTGGAGGAGGTGGAGGTGCCAGATAGTGGGGAGAAGAAGAGGTGTGTCAGAGCAGGAGGGAAACAACGAGGAGAAGGCCGCAAAGAAGGAGGAGATGGCTGAGGAGAGGGATGGTGGAACGGGGCACACAAGGTGACGGAGTACGAGGGGTTGGAGACGGAGGAGTAGGAGCAGCAGGAGGAGGAGCTGACAAGGAGGAGGAGAAGAAGCTGAGGCTGATGGAGGAAGATGAGGAAGAGGTGGAGGTGTTCGCCGTGGGCGAAGCCACGGCGGTCGACCACTTGTCTTATTAAAGACTAAAAGCGGGTCTCGTGTAACACTGTCCTGTCCTGCAAAGGGCCCGGGCTGCCAGGCAAGAAGTGCTACTGGGTTGGGCCCACGGCAGGTGCCTGATTTCATTTTTGGTGTCGCATTCCCCATGTCATTTTGTGGGCTCATGTGTGGAGGGTGGTCATGCATTCTTATCCTTCACTTAGGATCACCCAGGCCACCGTACCACCCTGCCCACATATTACCACCCATTCCACATAGAATGACCTCTCCCACATGGTACCGCCCAACCTACATCCCATATGGCACTGCCCGGTCCACATGGTATGACCCACCCCACGTGGCACGACCCCACATGCTTAGTATCACCAGGCGACATAATACTGCTCAGCCCGCATAGGTAACCTGGCGTGGCAAGGGCTGAATTATGCGTGACGTTGGCCATGGTTTTTCTTTTTCTCATGGTTGCGTTGGTGTTCTTTTTATTTTTTTTTGTGGGAGTGTGTGTTAGTACCATCCAGTCCATATGCCACATGGAAGGGCCCACCCCACATGGTGCCACCTGGTCCAATGGTGCCATCCAATGCATGTAGCATCACACAGGCCATATAATGCCGCCTGGAACACGAAGAACCATGGCCATGCCAAGGGTGGAGATGTGCTTTAGTGTGTGTTTTTTACTTTTGTGGCTCTGTAGTACCATCCAGTTCGCATAATATGACCCACCCAACACGGTGCCCCCCAGTGAACATGATACTGCCCAAAGCCCAGATAGTGGCACCCACGCCATATGATACCGCCCCGCCACATAGTACCGTCTGGCCGTGGCAAGGGCCTAATTGTGTCTGATTTTGGCCTTCTGTTTTTTTTTTTGTGCGTGTGGCTTGGTCACTTGTCAGTCCACGTAGAAAGAGGCCCATGGTCCAAAATCAGGAGGTGGAGTTTGTTTATGAGCGGGATGAGGAGAAAGGACAGAAGGGGCAGGAGGACAATGCAGCAGCAGAGGAGGAGGTGGTGGTCGAGGAGGAGGGGGATGAGGAAAGCAGGACGGACAGGAAGCGGCAGAGAACAGGGAGGATGAGGATGAGGAGGTGGTGGAGGAACAGGGGCGGGGAGGAGGGGAGCAGGTCTACCCCACGGGTTAGAATTAAACCACCAGTACCTCGCCCAGCTATCAAGTCCGAGGCTCGGACTACCGGTAGCCCGATCGTTCCCGAGCCTCAAACTTTATTGCCGAGCCTCGGACAACCGGTAGTACATCCTCGAAAAGGAAAAAAAGAAAAAAACATAAAAAACCATACAACATTCTGCAAAAAAAACAGAAAAAAAAAAAAAAAAAAAATCAGACATGCCAAACGAGAGAGAATCTTCCTCGATAAAAAGGAAGATTCATTCAGAGAGAGACAGAGAGAGAGAGAGAGAGAGAGAGAGAGAGAGAGAGAGAGAGAGAGAGAGAGAGAGAGAGAGAGAGAGAGAGAGAGAGAGAGGGCGT